GGCGGATGCACCGATTCCACATTGCCCGGCCGAGGCTATCTCAATGCCCTCATCACGTTCAGACGTACGTTTGGCGCTTGTGGGCAGGCCACCTTGCCGTGCCGTCGGCTCTTTCTCAGCTGCATGTCTTTACGATACCATGTCGTAAGTTTTGTAGCACCATGTCAGCTTACGCTCACATAGTTTCTCCACGCGTATGTGTTTGACATTATTTTTTGTGCACGCGCATGTACGAGCGGCTGATAGGGTAAGCGGGCGCACGATCGAAATTTCTCGCTCCGCTGCAGGGCGTGGTGTTTTGTTGGCGAGGCTATTCGTGGCCAAGTGAACTCTGGTCTGGGGGGCTTCACATTGGCCAGGTGATGCTTAATCGAATACGCTTACAGCGAGTCACCGCCGCCCCTGCCTTTTGGAAACGCCTGTGTCGTGAGATGCTGAGCGAAAAGGGCGGCCGCGCCAGTGGATCGCGTGTTCCCCCAGCCTGCGCCAGGGGAGCGTCCCCGTGGCTGTCTCGAGGCTCTTTTCGAGCATGTTTGAATCTTCCTGGGGACTTCCCGGGGCTTTTTTGGGACCGCAGAGGCTCTCTTGGGCCGTCTGGCGCCTTTGGAGGTCGCCTTGGGCCCTCCTTCTGGACTTATTTGTTTTCTTTTGTTTGCTTGCTTGCTTGCGTGCGTGCGTGCGTGCTTGCTTGCTTGCTTGCTTGCTTGTTTTTGTTGTTGTCATTGTTACTCGCACGATTCTATCAAGGAGCCCATGGGGATGTCCCCGTGCCTGGCACTGGGCATGATGTATAGTGCGCGCCCTTCGGAATGTGTGATGGATGCGGGGTGGGTGGGTGGTTGGGCGGGTTGGGGGGGAAACGTGTCCAGCATCCCTCTTCCTGTCTCGAGACGTCCGCTGGCCCCCTCTTCCAGGACGGTGAAAGACTACCACCCTGGGCTTCGGAGGGGCTCTAGTTCTCGGACCGTTGGCCCAGTCTCGCCGTGGCCAGAAAAACCCTCCGTTCCCGAGTCAGCATCCCTCATGGTGGCATAGTGACTGTGTCCTCCTCCTCCTCCGACTCCTCCCCCCTGCCTCTCCTCCTCCTCCTCCTCCTCCTCCTCCTCCTCCTCCTTCTCCTCTTCCTAGAGAGCGCGCTCGTAGGCCTCTGGGGGGCAGTTGTGGGGCCTCGTGGGAGCATCTTGGGGGCCGCTTGGGAGCCGCTTGGGGGTCTCTTCGGGCTTCCTGAGAGCCTGGGGTGTCCTCTTGGGGCCTCGTGGGGCCCCGTTGGGGGCCTTCTTGGGGCCTCCTGGGAGCTGCTCGGGGCCGAGGGCTCGAAATGTTCGGTCGGGCTCCCGTGTGGGTACCCTCCTGGAGCCGTTCTGGGTTCCTCTGGGGCTGTTTGGGAGGCCTCTAGGGCTGCTTGGGGGCCCTCTTCGGTCGTTTTGGGGCCGTCTTGGAAACCTCTTGGGGGCCTCTTGTGCCGATCTTGGTGGTCTCTCGGGCCGTCTTGGACCGTTGGGAAACCGAAGCGGCGGGAACGCCAGTATCTTTCAAAAGCTGGAGAACAGTTACGGAGTTCTGCCTTTTGGGGCCCTCTTGGTGTGCTCTTGGAGACATCTGCGAGAGTCTTGGCAGCCTGTTGGGGCCCTCTTGGTGTGCTCCTGGAGGCCTCTTCGAGCGTCTTGACAGCCGCTTGGGCTTCGCGGAGGCCATCTGTGGCGTTTTGGACCGATCGCTCGGCGATTCGAGGCCCTCTTGGACCGTCTTGGGGGCCTCTTGGGCTTTCTGCGTGTTTTTGTGGCCCCAGGACCTCCCGTGGGAGGATGGCATTCTGACCAGGACCCCCCTCCCACCTCTCCCCTCTCCCCCCCGTCCACTCTCCCCTCAAGCCCCCCGGGACCCCCCTACCCCTGGGCGGGAAGGGATCAAAGGGAAGGGGGTCCTCTTCGAGTCAACTACGACGTTGCCTAAGTTCGATTTGGTTTCGCTTTGGTTGGTGCGCTTTTCGGTTTCGCTGTGGCTGGCACGCTGGAGGAAGAAGACCCAGTGACTGCGACGACGACGAGCGTCTTCCACACGCCGGAGGGTACATGGAGATCCATTGCTATCTGCCATTCTATTTTTCCTCCTCCTCCTCCTTTCCTCCTCCTCCTCCTCGTCCTCCTCCTCCTCCTCCTCCCCCTCCCTCTTCTTCTTCTTCTTTTCCTTATCCTCCTCCTCTTGCTCCTCCTCTTCTTCTTCCTCCTCCTCCTCCTCCTCCTCCTCCTCCCTCTTCTTCTTCTTCTTCCTCCTTTCTTCTTCCTTCTTCTTCTTCTTCTTCACCTTCTCCTCCTCCTCCCCCTCCTCTTCCTCCTCCTCCTCCTCTTCCTCCGCCTCCTCCTCCCTCTTCTCCTCCTACTTCCCTCCTCCTCCTCCTCCTCCTCCTTCTCCTTCTCCTCGTGGGCGCGCGCCAGGCCAACATGTGGGGGCAGATCGCGGGCACGGGCCTGGCGGGGCACGGCACCGGCGCCGCTGGCAG